GGAAATTTCAGCGGTTGTGATCAGATGGTTTGTCATCGATTGATTCATTCGATCGATCGAGATTATTTGATTGGTGATGGACTCCCTCGACTTAAAGTCGAATGACGCACCAGACATCAATAATAGCTTCTCAAATTCGCTTACTGTAGAACCTTGCGGATCTCTCATCTATCATCGCAGAATCCTCTATCAGAATAATCTTTGCTGGTGATCCTGTCATCTCAGCTCGCTCCTGAAATCATAATAAGCTATCTGAAGATGCAACACTACCTGAACCATACATCAAAATCGTCCAGAAAACAACCCAAACGGAGATTGTGTCGACATGATGTGTCTGTTGGCTATTTTCTGGTTTTGGTTTGTATATCATCCTGTTCTCGACATGGACTTTTGTCAGCACATGCCTTTGCTCCAATTCAAAGTCAATATACTTCGTTTCAAATACGCCAGGAGCGATCCGGTGTGATAGGCAAGATCAATTTTGATCAATTTCCAGATACAAGTACCCAAGCAGACAAGATACATCGGCCATCAAGGACAGCAATGGCGATGACACTGGATCCTTACGAACAACAATATCAGCAGTACTTTGGTACAGCTGCCAACGGAAGCTCAAAAGTCAATATCAAACAAAATGAAGATTCACAGACACAACAAACACCCGTCAATGATCCGCTGCAGGCATCCGACACAGCAGCAGTCATCGACCCATACCAAAGTCAATTGGATCAGTACAGTGGGCAGCTCGCCTCACCAGCGACTGCTTTACCACAAGGACAGACGGGACTACAGCTTCAGTTGCAACAGCCATCCGATTCGAATCCACCAAGTATGAATAGTTGGGACAGCGCTTCATCTAGTAGTACTACAACAACAATGGATCCCTATGAACTTCAATACCAACAATTGTGCAGTCAGGTTTCCGCCTACCCTTCCGCCTACTCTTCAGAATCGCCAGTGCCGTCAAATTCAGCGAGTCCAACGAATGGTGCTGGCTACCCCAGTCAACAACAGCCGAAGCAGCAAGAGATTGCCATTCCAGTACCAGAGCCAGCACCCGTAGTCCAATCCAAACAGGAAGAAGACGACGAGGAGGAAGGTCTGGAAGACAAGTTTCTAAGAATGGTTTCCAGCGAAGTCGCGTACAAAAAGCTCAAGGGAGAGAATCCATATGCCTTGACGGACATTGATGTTTCCCTTTTGATTCAACGCTTTCTCGATAATATTGAAGATTCCACACAAAAGAACAATGGGAAGACCAAGGGACAATCCAAATTGAAGGGGAAAACGTCCCCAAAGAAAGGACGAAAGAAAATTGTGGTTCTGGGTACAGGCTGGGCGGCGCATGCCTTCATCAAGCTAGCCAGTACTTACGATCTTCGAGTCGTTGTGGTCTCACCCGTCAATCATTTTGTAAGTATTCATCACTTTCGAGTTGATAGGAAGAATATTTGGATGTACTTGTCCATGGAGATTATGTCTATAGTGGAAAATGAATCCATCTCACGCGGTCCCTTGTTTATTTTCCTTCATCTGTCGCCATTGCACTGTTAGGTTTTTACTCCAATGTTGGCCTCCGCAGCCGTTGGGACGGTAGAATACCGTAGTATGACGGAACCCATTCGCGTAACCAACCCACATATTGATAATTTTGTGGAAGGAAGAGCCATTGGTGTTGACGTTGTCAACCGCAAGATTGCCGTCCAATTGACAAAGTTATCAACCGTTACGAATACATTCAAGGGACTTGCATCCGATGCGCCATCCCGATTGGACCCAGAACCAGTTCTCACTAACATTATGTATGATGAGGAAACTAACGTGATTCAAAGGGATGCTGCTATCCAAGGTGCCGGGGATGTTATTGAATTGAACTATGACCATTTGATTTGTGCCGTTGGAACTGGTGCCAGAAGCAGTATTGTGCCTGGGGCCAAAGATTATTGTGCGTATACCATTCATGTTGTCATCTTCTCGTCCTTTCTTATATGATACGATCTCATCGTCTTCTATTCTTCTTGGTAGGTTTCAACTTGAAGACATCCCAGGATTCCAAGCGCCTCCGAACAGCGATTGGTGAAGCTCTCGAGTTTGCTAGTCGGCCAGATGTTCAAGAGTATTACTACGCCAATGAAGAGGATAAGATGATTGCGAAGAATGAGCGACAGCGTCGAGTAAGAATAGCTATTGTGGGGGGTGGTCCAACTGGAGTTGAGTTGGCTGGTGAAATGAGTGACTTTTTTGAGCAAGTCTGTCGACCGTCAGATGGCGCCTTTCAGCTCTTGAAGGACGACATTTCGATCATGCTGATCCATGGTGGTGCGGAACTCCTTCCGGCAATGGACCAGGAACTTCGCAACAGGGCATTGGTTGCACTGGATGAACAAGGAATTGACTTGCGACTCAATAGTAGGCTCAAAGAAGTTGGTAGGGACTTTGTTAAGATCTTTGAAAAATCGAGCGGAGAGGAAGAAACCATTCCTGTTGGTCTGACCATCTGGGCTGCAGGAAATGCACCATTACCATTTGTTGCCGAGCTTCTATCGCAGCTACCGGAAAGTGCAGCTGGACCCGGTGGTCGAATCAATGTGGATGAATGGTTGCGATGTCCCACTCCATCAGAAGATAGTTTTGGCTCTGTCCTGGCACTTGGGGACATTGCCTGTCTCGAAGCACAAGGCAAATACGACATTGAGGCCAAAGCACTACCGCAGACGGCTCAAGTGGCGGGTCAACAAGGCGCTTTTGCTGCTCGCTTGCTGAATCGAGGATACGATTTGCAGCAAACTCCACCCGTATTGCCCGAACTCACTGCAGAGGAAGGGTATTCCATTCTTCGACTTTGGCTCATAGCTCGGGGATTGGACGAAGCTCCTGGCTTTGCTTTCCTCTCACTTGGATTGCTGGCATATGTCGGTCAAGAAGAAGCATTGAACCAAGTCACTATCGGCGATGTTCCATTGTTCAACTACTCTGGGAAAATCGCTTACGCTTTGTGGAGATCTGTCTACCTTGCCAAGCAGGCCTCGACACGAAACCAAGCGCTGATTGTTTTTGATTGGCTACGAACAGAAGCTTTTGGTCGTGACATTACACGACTCTAGGCGGGGGATAATACGATAGTTTAGCTGTTGTCCTCATATCAATTTACATCGTGATCTATATTATTAACATTGTCCAAGTATATTTATGATTTTCATGGTCGTACTGGACTGTTTCGAGTTTCCGGTAGGTACGATGCACCAGATGAATCAGTCTCCATTCAAATCATACTGGCACGTCATGGGCAACTTAAGCTTTTGTTTCATCCTGCATGTTTACTGTTCCTACTGTAGTGTGAATGAAATCACGACTACGCCTTTTGACGTATTTGTGTATTTATGGTTGTCACCGAATCGATGACGTGTCAAGAATCTTTTCGAACACCATATTCATTTTGAGAAGGTTTTGCACCACATTTTGCCACCCGTTTTCCCATTCCAAAAAGCATAATATATTCAGGAAACAATGAACGTTTGTAACGTCGACAACCTCAAAGGTTGTGGAGAGCCTCCGATTTCCTTTTCTTCCAAGGAAGCCATTTGCGAGGAAGGCAGCTTGTCTGTCCTCTTTGTCATTCTCTTCTTCTCCGTTATCTTTGCCACAAAGCAAATTTTGTATCGTCAGCGTAAGAGTAAGGAAAGCAAGAAAATCGTTCATGGGATCATGAACGAAGCTAACGAAAGCCTCGTGAAGACAATTGCTCATCATGTCGAAGAGATTTTCGTCAAGCCCTTCATTCCAACTTCTCTGGAAGACATGATTACGACCATTTACTTTGGATACTTCTTGCTTACTATCACAATGGGTGTGACAAGATTCTACGAGAAGCACTGGGCCAACGATCCATTGGCCCAGCAAGGTCCATTCAACTTTCTTAGTTGGACCTTTGGTTGTGAAAGTGTTGGCGTTGGCGGATTGGTCTACACTCCCAAGATGCCAGATCTCTTGTCGGATCCAACTACTAATGGTGATGGCAAGAAAAAACAACAAGGGCTATTCCAATTTATCAAGACACGACTCAACAAAGTCACACCCAGTGATGATAATCCAGAAGCTATTGAGAAGGAGTACTATGAAACTATTGATTGGCTATTCACCCTTCACCTCGTGATGGGAACTGCTTGGCTTTCTATTGGTTTTCTTCAAATTGTTTGGACTCGCACTGGATGGTCGGTGAGTATTACGAATAAACAGCTATGGGATACTTTGTCGGCTACACCTTTCTTCCCTTGCTCACCCAAACCATCTTCTCGTTGCTACACATTCAGATTGACAAGGATGTTCGACGCACTGCCCATCGCATGTTTGGACGTTTTGCCATGGTTTCCTTTGTGCTACACATGGGTGTCGCATCTCTCATGGTCTTTCGCAATCCCGTCAAACAGGCTTTGCCAATTGTCGTATTTTATTGGATTGATATTGCCGACAATTGGCTCCAGGCCGCAATGGGAGTCGCTTGGGCCATTGAAGCCAAACGGCTTCGTGATGCCAAGGAACCCGACGAGGAACCTCTTTTTGACCAAGACGAAGAATACCAAAGCGCCAAGAACATGCACGAATTTCGCATGGTGACTGTCTACTTGCGTTCGACCTTTGGCAGTGGAGCCATTCGCTTTACCGTTTGGCTGTTGTGGCTTGTGGGCAAGTTCCTCCCCTTTGAAAGTCGCATTCTCATTGACCGTGGCGAGTGCCAAGCCTTTGCCCAAGTTCTCGGCAGTGACATGATGGGACAGGCCGACATGTGCTTGAAGCCAGTCTTCTTGAACCTCGCTGCCACCGATGTCTTTGTTGTGTGGCTCGAGTGGCTCTTTGTTTGCGTCTTGGCCCAAGAACACAAACGACTCACTCGTGTTGATGCCACTGCCACCAAGATCAAGCTTTACGGTTATGTCATTGCTGGATTTGCATACGTCGCAACCCTCCGATCGGATTCGTCCTTGGCTTCCTATGCTATCATGTTCTATGCTCTCTGTACCAAGCTCCGCGTGATTCATGATCACATTGCCCGTTTCATTCTTAACACCAATGGTTGTGGTCGTGATGAGGTCGAGCTCCATCTTCCAGTAAACAATAAAAAGGGGGCCAAGAACATCGCTCGTGCATCCATCACCATTGATGGATCCGAGTTCCATATTGGTACCATGGACGATATGGACTTTCCAGGTTTGGACTCGTCCGAATCTTCCCATGATGATTACGAGTACCTTGTTGAAATCCATCCCCACCAGGATTAGGTACTGAAAGAAGCAAGAAGACTTTTATTGCAGCATTCGCAAACCTTTTCGCCAGACAAAGGTAGAATGCACCCCAGCAATCCCTCTGTCCAAAGAAAATTGCATTGCGGCTAATAAGAGAATCCTTTCCATTTATCCTTATATTGGTTGTAATTAAATTTCGAAGCGTATAATTCAAAATCATCTCCTTTGACCTTGATTGAATGTACACACACTTTTGCTGATCGCATATTTTAAAATGTTGACATCTAGTCGTTGTAGGAGACGACTCTAGCCTTTGAGGCAAAGGATTAAGCTTTCTGCTGTGTAGAGGGCATTATTTTATCGGCTCTTCAAGACACGAACGGGTTGACATCGCATCATCTCATGTTAAAATCGCAACAAAAGATGAGCGACGTTCCAAACTCGTTTTGTGCTTAACCACATTCACTACCAACACCAAAGAAACGATTATATGACCGCCCAATGCTTGAAATTCATGCATGGTACTCTTAATGATATGATAATATGTTGGGTGCAACGTCATGAAGGCCTGGTTCATTGTCGTTCGTACTGCATAGGGTTCTGGACCATCCGTGCCTCTTTCCGTGACGGTCATGCGTGTCATAGTTAACTCGGCGTGCGGGTACGAAAGGATTGGCAATATATAGTCCTTGACCACATTTCCAGCTTTGGAAAATTCTTGAATTCGTTTCGAAAGTTCGCGTGATTGAAGGGTACAAAGTAGTTGCTTACCACGAGGCAAATATTGTTGTCGTTTGAACCCTCGGTCACTGAAGCTCGAGGCTCGGATAGAGCAGTATCACTGCTGGCAATGTCTTCCAGAATCCCACCCAGATTATCTTTTACAACTCAATTACAAGGCATCCCTGGGCGGAAGTTGGCGTTGGCTTGACAGCTGCCTTTGGGGCGTGGTTGTACATTGATGGTGCCGACGTGCCGACGATCGAGCACGAAACTCGATTTGAGAGGAAGAAAACGCTCGTTACAAGGCATACTGTACCAGGCAACAAAAGCCCAAAAGGCATATGTTGAGCCCAAGGACTATTGGACCTTGGATGAATTGGCAGAGTACAATGTGTTCCCACCTGACCATAAGGAGACTGGCGCCAACAACAACGACGAGTATATGCTCTGGATTACGAAGGTCCCATTTTGTTAGCTGCTGATGGACTGGTCTTTAACGTTTGGAAAGGCAGAAACTTCTATGGTCCTGGCAGTGGATACCATATCTTTGCCGGGCGAGATGCGACGCTACTGTTGGCCAAAAGAATTGTTCGTGAAGAAACGGCAGACGAAGCCTCCAAGCCTCTCAACATTGGGGAAAGGGCATCGTTGGCTGGCTGGATGTTTACGCTGAAGAACAAGTAAGAAATTGTGGAGAAACCGAAAAACTTTGAAACAGTTGGAGGATACTAGAGTAGCAAACAAAGACTCAAGCGAAGGCTTCCAGTCTTCGATGCATCTTCAAGACCAGGCAAGAAACTTCTTTAGTATATCCCAGACAACTTCTTAAGCTGTATTTCACCAAGTTGATATATGGATCATTGATCAAATCTGCAGGAGAGATATGCCATACATATTCTGTTTTATTGTTGTGCAACACATGAGCACTGCGGCCCCTAACTGAATTAGTTTATTCATTTTTCGGCTCGTGTACCTTTATAATATAAAAAACGGGTTATCGCGCGCCTTTAGTATTCCAAATTCCTCTATCATAAAATAAGAGAACCAATCAATAATTATTTGGGAGATGAAATATTTCAAAATAGGAGATCCCCCAATATTCCGATCACCCCGGAATCGAACCGATAGTCTACACGTACACTGGGTACCTGGTACCTGGTACACGTGCGGACATACTGTAGTATGCGCTGTACCGGTACGTGAGTGTCATCATCATCAACAAAGAATATAGAACAAAATTGTGTCATCATCGCTGACAAAGAAGGTTATACATAATGTAACACTGTATGCTGCTGATATTATAGGAATACCCACAACGTAGTTGCAATCGAATAATCGTCTCCGGCTCCTATTATTGGGACGAGACTGAATAAGATCGGCTCCAATCCAAAATGGAAAACAGTGAGAAAGAAGATGAGAAAGATAATAAGAATCAGTTGTCCACCAGCATGAGCCGCACGATGTCGACTGCTGATGACGAACGTCAGTGGCATCGCCGAACCTTTGTCTATGACTTGAAATCATCTATCAATCACAAGGAATCGGAGACCCCAAATGATGTGACTGAAGTTACTGTCGATTCATCGGTACATGCCATTGGTGACAGCGCCTTTTTCTATTGGTCCATGTTGGTGCACGTGGAATTCTCTGAAAGAACAACGAGACTTCACACGATCTCATCATCCGCCTTTCAGTATTGTACAAGCCTGCAATTTGTATCGATTCCATCTTCAGTGATCACTATTGGCCCTTTAGCCTTTTCCGGATGCACTTCATTAGTGAAAGTCGAATGGTTGACGCCTTATTGTTCTTATTTCAAAAAAGAAGAAGAAGACGAAAAAGAAGTTTCCGCCGCATCAATAATAAGTGACCATCATTCTTCCACCACCACCAACATGCTGAAGATAATTGGAGGCTATGCGTTTGCTGGCTGTGTATCGCTACTCAACCTGGTCGTTCCAAACCAAGTCACAAAACTAAGTCAAGGTGTCTTCCAAGGTTGTACATCTCTGGCTTTTGTCGATCTTCGGCATGCTGCTGGTCTGAAAAGTATTGGATCCTGTTGCATGGAAAACTGTTCTTCCTTGCAATCCATATCTATCCCATCTACCGTGACGACTATCGGTAATTCGGCATTTGCGGGTTGTCACTCCTTGCAAGAGTTGGAACTATACGAAGGACTAAGGACGATTGGAAGAAAGTCTTTTGCTGATTGCCAGTCTTTGGCGACGGTTTGCTTTCCACTGTCACTGAATGATATTGGAAGAGAAGCCTTTTTTGGCTGTACCGGTCTACTTGGAGTTAGGATACCAGCCAATTCCAAAGTATCATTGGAAAAGTATTGCTTTGGTGAATGTTCTTCCTTGGTGACAGTATGCATACCTACTTCTGTGGCATATTTGCCATATGATTGCTTTTCGCATTGCCAAGCAATGATGATGAAGCATACAAGTAGTACCGTCATTAAAGAGCCTGATGTCGAGGAGTTAATGTCCTTGCATTCATTGTTGCGAAACCGATATGATGGTTTACCAGCTCACCAAGTATGCTATTATTATGGTTCGACGGCGTCTACTACTGTGGAGAATATGGAATTGACAAGAATAATCATTCAAGAAGACGAGGAAGAAGAAGAACGTGTAAATCACTGGAAAGAAGAAGATGTCTTTGGCATGACACCGTTGCACATTCTTGCGACTTGTGGTTATTCCTCCTTGATGGTTGGAACCAGGACGGCCACGACTGATTTATTCGCGACATTGCTCCAGCAATATCCGCTTGATGTTATATGGCACAAAGATACTACATTGGGAAGAAACAGTATAATGGACTACTTGATGCTTCCATATCGATCGAGCAGGGTGATTCCATTGATTCAGATGGTATTGCGTCGAGTCATTGTGGACGAAATGAAACAGTATCACCGATGGGGACTTGAGTGTTGGATGGATGAAATGCTCTGCTTGATAGATTCGATCGGCATTACTCATGATGACCATGATGATGATGACGACAATGACACCACGAGCCATGATTTTGCGAGAACTCAAGACTACCTGAAATTGGTTAATGAAGAACTGGCTGGATATCTCAAGCTGGAAGCCACATCCATTTTGGAGCTGGCGGTGTGGAAACTAAAGATTCAGGATATTGATAGTAATGCTGCTGCTGAAACGGTAACGAAGGACGACGACGAGTCAAACAATGATGGCTATCATCATTATCGCGACCCATTATTACGATCCATTTCGGGCATGGGCATTCTGATTCCCAATGTGATTGTATTCCTTTTGAATGAAACGACACCTGCTTCGGATTTCACCTCTTGTATATTACCATTTGACGCAGACGACCATTGGCACGATTAATCGTAATGCTACTTAAAGTAGTAGGGATATGCTGGAAAGATAGTAGGTACTATACTTCAATGCTATAGCCTATAGATGCAGCCATATCCATTACTAGCTTGATTCGATTTTAATACGCACACCGCCTGAACAGACACTTTTAGGGTACTACTCCGTCTAGCGGTACTGTACGATACCAGTATCCAATATCCAAGCATTTGGATGAAACAGCTGCAATGATGCCAGTCATGGCAGTCATGGTCACACAAGATTCAAAGACCACCCCCCAATAAGTTCTCCTCCATCTTGTTGGTTCAACAAGGGTCATCTGGTCCACATCGCAATCGACCAATAAAATACTGTACGAATAACACCTACCAGGTACCGGTACCGCACTGTACATACGGTTTATTTATTCGTCTGCCAGCTGGCGTTTTAGTCCTCCCTCTACCTGGTACTTTCATCTACCTGTAGTGTTGTTCATATCACTCTCCACGTGTGAGAATATCTTTTGGTGCGCGTCATCCAACATCTATGGTGTTTTCCTCCCGCCTCCTTCCTCTTTGGTACACTTTTCCACGTATGCCTGTATTCTGTCGCAGGTTGATTCTTTCTTCCGTCTCCTAAATCTTAAAATCGGAGTCGCAGCGAATTTCGAAACAATCGTCGGCGAGAGTGTTTCGCAAAAATATGATTGGAGAGTGGCTACCGCATGATAATTTTTTAACGAATAGGATACTTATGGCGAATTAAACAATTGTGTACACTCCGACTGATCACGAGCTGTTGGTAACCAAAAAGTAAAAATTTAGCGCGTCAATTAGAGAAGTTCTCTAACGCATCGCTATGACTCACGGATTTTCAGGTGAAAAAAGACTTGGTAAAAAGGGCGAAGTGTTGTCTCTCCTCGTATTGGATTTTGTGAAATGTGAAAAAGTGACTCGATGCAAAAATAATAAAAATAATAGAAGCCAAAGACGAAAGGATTTGATTGCGAACTGTATTGTGCTTGTAGCAAGGATATATTCACATCACATCAATAGCACAGAATCACACCAACAGCACGCCGTCTTGTCATTCCAAGGATCGATTCAAGAAGCAAAAGCAAAGGAAAGCACAAGCAAGACACTCGGCATCACTTTTGGAGAGGAATTGGAACTATTTATTAAAATATCCTAAAATGCAAGAAGCAAGACCCTTCTTTCTCCTCGATTGGCTGGACGATTTGATGGTCAATCAAGACGCTTTTCAGATTGCTGAATTGCTCAAGACGCCGTCCAAGCTGCCACAGCGTCAGCATCTTCAGAGCCATCATCAGCTTGGTTCGTACAGCAGTCATCATCAGATGATTTCCATGATGGAAACGGATGACTTTAACTCTTCAGAAAGAGACCAGCAACAAATAATGCTGCGATCAATCTCCAGTCCTGCAGTCTCTTCTCACCTCTCATCCTCTGCGGAAGCTGCAGCGGTTGCCATTCCTGGAACTCCAACAGCAAACACTTTCAGAAAGTCATGCATTGATAACACTCACATGAATGGTGACTCTCATGGAATTCTTCCCACGAGACTCTTTCATCAACACAATACGGCTGCTGCTACTGCAATGGGCCAGAAACTAGAGACGACGATTCAATTGTCTCAATTGACTTCTAGCAAAAGCAGCAACAGTCTGTTGCCAAACAATAAGGTAAAATCCAAGCCAACGGCTCCACCTGGAATCTTCAAAAAGCGATCCATGGCGCTTGGGAATGGCTGGAATGCCAAGGGACTCACTAAAGCAAAGCAAGGACGATGGGAAGCTGCCTTGGCTTGCTGGGACAATGCACTCGAGATTCGTTTGCAGATTAGTGATGCTTCGTGCCGTAAGGATCAACTCGAAGTGGCCAACACTTGGAACAATCGGGGGATTGCTCTAGGCAAATTGGGGCAATATCACAATGCGATTCAAGCCTTGGGAGAAGCCTATCAGATTCGCAAGACTTTATTAGATCAGGGACATCCTCAAGTGGTGTCGACACTCCACAACATTGCCAATGTTCACCAACAACAGGGAGACTTGACTACCGCACTGCAAGTCTTTGGAACGGCCAAGAGTTTGCTCGTCCAATCCTTGGTGGCGTCTTCGCCTACAAATGGAAATACCAATACCGACCCCATGCTGTTGGCAAGGATCTGTACAGCCATTGGTCACATTTACTACCAAGCCCAACAATGGATTGATTCAAGAGATGCGTATCAAGATGCCTTGAATGTCCTCTTGAAGTTTGACTCTTCATCATCAGCCTCCACGGACCAACAACGCGAGATTTACGAACTGCAACGAGACATTCAAGAATTGAATGGAAAGATTCCAATCACCTTTGCCAATCACGGAATGGGTAGTATGGCCACCATGGGTGGTGGTGGTGGTGTTGGATCATCGTTCTATCATGGACACCACGGACATTGCACTTCTACCCAGCAGTCTCCTCAGCCACAACAACATTAAAACATCTGATGTGACGACTACGCTCGATGATTCATGAAGCATGATAGACTGACTTGTACTCTTGACTGACGACAACACGACAGAGAGTATATTAGACTCACTCAACACGAACACTACGGTAGGGTAGGGTACTGCATATGCAATTCGAATACGAACACGAACACGAACACGAATACGAATACGAATACAAGCAGTACCCATTTAGACACTAGAACATCACTGTATGTATACTAATAAATAATTCATATATTATACCCAAATAGTCCTACACTACTTCAATGCATATAATTACTGTTTGGTCATGTGGTTCAAATTTGGACAAACCTAGTTGACGTTTGAGTGTATCCTACGGTATCCCACAGGAACAGTATCATTTTGATTATAAAATAGTTTCACAAACTCGTTATCCGCCAATCTCATAACTTCATCACTTATTAACTTAAATGACGCTGTAAAATCGAACGCCACTTACTGCCAAATTCACCAAGGACTCTGGTTCCAAAGCCACAATGCCTATTCTCGAGAGACTACCAGTGTCTACGGAAGTTCCATCGTCGGGATCGACAAAGGAGGTGAAAGGAATCCGAATGGTGGACCAACCAAATAGACAATCCAAGGTGGCAGTGTGACAATACGAATTTTTGGGGAATTTGGCCGATCGCAAGTGGACATTGAATTGGAATCCTTCTTGTGACAAAATGTCCAATTCAATCCCATCATAGCCAGAGGCATCCACTCCGCTGTCACGACTTTTACCAGAAAGGTCGGTAATCATTTGCAAAAAAGCTTCGGGCTCATTGGAGACTTGACCAACCAACACATTGCATACCTTGTCACTGACAGTCTCTCTGCGGATGGCACCCTCCGAAGTGCCGCCTTTGATACGATCAGAAGTTCCCCTCCATTCACTACCAGAACTAGTCAAGGGAAAAGATTCCGAGAGATCATCAATAACACCAGAGTCGACCAAATCTTGATAGGAACTTTTGGCTTTGGAAAGAGGCGATGTGGCGGCATTTGCACCGTCGGATGTGGGGCCGGACATTCCAGAACCTTCGTCCGAGCCAATGGCATTCGTAAAGTCCTGGTTGCCTCCAACCTTTCCCTTTTTCCGCAAGAATGCCATGGCTTTGTTTTCCTTCTTGTTTGGTTCTTCCTTGGTCTTCGATTTGTCCAGCTTTTTCAAGAGAGAACCCAAAACTTCGCCTGAAACCTTATTACTATTATTGTCCTCCTCTTCCTTTTCCTTTTCAAAGTCTTCTTGTTGTTCTGGAGTGTATACATAGTGGCGAGGACAGTTACGCTGACTCTTGTCGGTACCGATACGCATGAAAGGGGCAAACCTATTGACATTTTGCTTCACCGAAAAGGCTTGAATTTGACGCAACGTTGATGCCATCAATAGAAATAAGAAGGAAAATAGCTTCATGTTATTGGAATAATACGAGCCATTGGAAACCATTGGAGAATATCGTTGACGTTTGGGCATTGCAGTTTTATATATGATGCTACAGTAGGATTCAGTATACCGTGCGAAGGCTATGTTATCAATATGCCGCCGTGTAATTGTCTTCTTCTTCTTCTCCTCATTTGGAGTGATGTCATGGGTTTTGATCCGAAAGATATTGTTTCAACGTGTAGACTTGACTCCTTTGATTCAATATTTTCATGAGAAAACACTCAAGCTACAGGTACTGTCGTAATGTATACCGATACGAAACAACAGGTTTAATACTTACTGTACGTCAAAGAAAAAAAGAGCTAGCTAGAAATTACATGACTAGGTGGCGGCAAGAGAACGCAAGTGTGTCATGAAGGAGAATACGATCTGCAAAATCGGGCCACCTTGTCACTGTTGGGTAGGGCTTCCGGCGTGTCTATTTGGTGGAGGGACCAAAGTTCATGAGCCAATCTCGAAAAATCTTCTAGGGAGACAATATTCTGACAGGATTGCATGAGCGACTCAAGTACCACTTCCTTTCCTCGGACACCCAAATGGACACATTCATTGGATAAGGCTCTCACAAGCACTGAACGAAGTTCCTCGGTTGGTGTAGCATTCAGCATCAGCAACCGTTTCAAAAGTTCGGAAGCATGGTCCAAGGTGCTCGCATTCAACTTCCCGCAACATCCAATGACTAGTGACATGGTTACATCAAAACGGACTCGAGACAGAATGTCTCCAGCGACGTTGCGAATAGCTTCGATTTCAGACTCCGCAAGCTGTATAAGCCTAGCAAGGATCTCTAGGGAGCCCAGCGATAGCAAATCCTCCGAGTCCAGAACGGATGCCACTGCAGCATTAATAGCTCGAGCAAAGAGAGGGTCTTCCCGTGGATCCTCACCTTGGCAAGAAGGCAAATGAAGAAGAAAAATTGGGCAGCTCCTGGACAGCGATTTCAGCAATGAGAAAACTGATGGAAGGGCTTTGGTTGTTGCCTTCTCTTGGCTTGAATTCTTTGCCACTGGCTTGGACTCAAATGCCGCTTGGCCATTTCCTTGTCTTTCACAGGTCCAAGTCTCTCCCAACATTGGTTTCAGGGCATCGATACTAGACAATATTAACGATTCGATACACCGGTAGACCTCTTGTTCACGTTCGACTCCTTGTTCCCCATTTGCACCTTGATGCTGCTGGTGTGGACCTTGGGACAAAGATGCAGCAATCCTATCCATCACCGTACCATGCGCATTCGCAAAGGACTCTACAAGCTTTAAGACACACTCCAGATTGTGATTCTTTGATGTTCCACTTTGGACAATTGCTGATGCTTCTGTGCACAGCTGTTGGAAAATTTCGAAGGAAGTAGACGTATTGAGAACTCGGGGGACACAAGAGGCGAAGAAAACTCCCAATGCTTCGGATACAGACTATTTCGAAATGTGAGAAGATGTATAAAGGAAAGATGCAAAATGTGAAAGCTTCCAAACCATGATCAATCTCACCTCATTTGAGTTGTACTGTCGTGCAGCTTGCGAAACGGATGGCCACAATCGTTGTATGATTGGAAGCTCGATAGCACGTATCGATGCTGTCGACGGTTGCTCCACGTTCGCCAATGCCTGTGAAAAGGATGACTTGACGGTTGTGACGATAATCATCTCGTCTGCTATTCGTTGGAGTATTCTTTCCTGTTGCTCCAAACTGCTGTTGGCAGCCGACTTGGCATGCTGCAGCATGGTCTCAAGACAGTCAATCGACGGCATTGCTAATGCTAGTAGCGAGTTCCCTCGTTGATTTTCAGGTAGACATGCAATAACATAGCAAATGCCCTCTGCCATCGCCTTTCGAGCATCCACAGTAAGAATCTCCATTCGATTGGCAGCCGAGTAGGACAGTTCCCAGGCCGCTAGAAGATAAGGTTAGAAATCGCCAAAAGGATTGCAATGACCTAATTCAAGTCTGACATTCTGAGACTTACCACCAAACGCCGCGACTGCTTGACCTGCAACAAAATTGTGGGGAACCAGTGTCAATATCTTCTTGAGCGAAAAGCAAGCTTTCGAATATGGCGAGACGTCCCCTTCTTGTCTCATTGACACCGAAGACTCCTCGTCTGGGAATGATGTGCCGCATAGATTGAAGGTGGACAAGGCAAAATCAGTTGCTGCAGATAGCGCTTCGGTTGCCTGCAAGGTCACAAGAAGCGGGGCATACTAAATGAAGAAAAATGAAAGAGGTAAGGGCAAGTACTCGGCATGGTATAGAGAGCAGATGTGGATCTCCAATTCGGATAAACTTACATTGTAAATGAGATTGTTTGCTTGGACCAGGGTTAGCGAATTTGCCATGAGGGTTCTCGGCTTTCTGGCGAGGGCATGAATGCACGTTTGAATCGATGCTGCGACGATTGGAGTTGCAAGATTTGATGCAGCTACTTCGCCATGTACAGTGGCAATGCAGAAGAGCGCCGCCTCCAAATGAAAGGAGGCGTGTACTGACGGAGAAGCGGCACAGAATTCATCCACTGCATTGGTGCAGGAAGCTAAGAATTGTTTTCCGTCATGTTTCAAGCACGCAGCCAATGCCTCTGTAAGTACAGTGGATCGAAAGTTTTCAAACTCAATGTAATCCACACTGCAAATGTCTGATGCCTCCAACGATAACACACCATTCGTTACATGATATGGAGTGATTGCTCTCCGTTGAAGAATCGGGAGAAGCTGGATATCGAGGCCACTTTCTGTGGGTAAAAACTGTTGTAGAACATCAATCGCAAGTCCACAAACGTTGACGGATGGGTGGGAGGCGGCTTGAATCAGCAAAGTATGCAGTCCTCGTCCCATTGAAAGACTACCAGCTGCACTGGAATTCCCTGGAGACCCTTTGATGCATGCCGAGGCAATGGAACTCCCAATTCGGGCTAGATTGCGACAGACACTTTCATCACCGCTGTTCTGTCGGTCTATGAATCGGAATCGTTGCAGTCCAATTGCAGAGTTCAATTCTTCCAGAATCGAGAGCATCTCCTTGGATTCGATCGTGATTAGCTGTTCTTTAGTGATATGTGAGCGAAAAGAAGCTTCGTCAACTTGCATAATGTATCGAACTTGGGACATGTGTTCGTTAGATACTGTCAAGTCTTGATGCTTGTTGACAACGCCCTCAATTAGTTCTGCTAGCGCATCAATCACCAATTTGGAATCCGAGTACATGGCATCACTGAGAACATCAACAATGTTGATCTTTTAAGAATTCGAAATAATAATATAGAAGTGAATAAGCGAATGAGTGTATATTAGGCTTGGGATCCACAAAGGTGTACGATTTCTTTCTTACCTGAACTTTGCTGCAAACATGCCTTATTTGGGCTAAACTCAAATCCGTCACCTTGCACCAAACATCCATAGCTTGTAGGCATAGTGCAGCAATTCGACAGTTTCGTTCATGAGTTGATCCTTCTCCTTCTCCATTCGTTTGCGAGTTTGCATTCGTTTCCTTGATAGAATCGGCCAGGACTGGAGCCAGCACTCGCGAAATCACAGCACTGGATACTTGTTGCAGCATGTCTTGAATACCAGCGGGCGCCGTCTTGCGAGAAGCTTCCAATGCTAGATGTAAAATGACACATGCTAGGCAATATGGCGGAAAGGTAATGGCTGAAGGTAGTATCCATTCTGATATTAGATGATGAACAGCCGCTGGTCCATTCGATACAGCGTTCGCAGCCAAGACACCACAGAGCATGTCTAGAACAGTACCATCCGCAAAGGTTGAGGTATTTCCCGGATTCTGAGAATTTGGATCCAAAGCGAGAGCTGCAATTCTTCCCATGACAATGTCCCTAATCTCACCATTGATTTCGATCAACCGCTTGGATTCATTGGGCGATCCATGATACCTCGAAGCGTTCTCAATGCACATTGTCATCAGGTACCTATCGACATCACTCGATCTTCGAGCTACCCTTAAGGCCATTTGTATCAGTAATTGTACATGGGCCGACAGTGTTACGGTTTGTGCTGAAGCTTCTGCTCGCTCCACTTCGTTGATGGCTTCGTTTATGAAATTCCAGCAGCCATATGTCTTTGGACTTGAGACATCAGTAGCATCCAAGACGTAGATTGATGATGTCTGATCCAGAAAGGAGCGCGCTCCCGCATCACCATGCAAGGATCGATTCAGAACGTCTAATGCAGGTCCCATCAATCTTCACGACTAGAGTAGATTTTCAAATAAATGGGTAATGGACGATCGGTGATGGATCGATGGATCTTTTATGATTGTCTTAACGTTTTGGTCGATTGAATTTCAAAACCCAAAATCAATTCACTGCAACATCAACGAGTTTCTTCGAATCTGAGAAGGCTTCAGAGATATCCTGTGTATGGATTCCGTAATGGCTTTCCTCAGTGATTCAATTCAACTTGCTCGAAAAAGGATGATGATGGAAGCTCGTCTCGTTGCTGGAACGTCACCAGCTTGACACCACCTCTGATGGCCGAAGGAGCTTCCGTCTTCCGTTGACGTCAACTTTTTGACGAATTTGATTGGGAGCTAGTGGACTTTGTGGACGTCGACGTCGAAAACCGAACCACCGTTTAATTACGCTGTGGTATTGTACGTACGCACCCAGCTGCTGGTACCAGGTACGAGGTACGTGTTCATTGGACAATTGGACATTGCACGAAGGCAGGTCTTGAATGACTCGTGCCTATAATAACCAAAACAGTTGGAATTCGGCGGTATTCCCACGCATATGCGAATCCATATATATTCATTTCAGAAACGCGTTCTCTCACGGTCGTATATTTGCAATGAAAGAAGCCACAACAAACCCTCTCATTTCTCTTTCGTCGTCATGACCAGCGATAGCAGTAGTACCGGTACGCAAAGCATGCTTTTCGTCATGGCTTCCGCCGCAATTGGGCTTCTCGCATTTCGGGCTTTCAAACGATCAAGATCTCCAATCATTGAAACCAAGTTTTGCTGTCCTTGTGGCAAGGTGAAAGGAACCATTCGAGCCAAGTATGAAGATTCCTCACGTATCCACTGTTGCTGCACCGACTGTCGAGCATATACTAAGGCGGTTGCAGCATTGGGAGGTAAGGTGAAGCCATTGATCCACGACTACGGAGAGGCTCACCTGTGCCAAGTCTGCAAGAGCGACGTCACTATTGATGAAGGGCTGGAGCATATCAAGTTGGCTCGTAAGGGTCCCAGCCAAGGCATGCATCGGTACTATACCGGCTGTTGCAGTGTTCCGTTGATGAATACTTTTGATTTTCTTGGGTTCGTGGCCCTTTACGAAGATCACCTTGACGAGCATCACAAACAGTTTCATGGACCATCTGTATTTTGCGAACATGAAGCAGAAAAGCCATTTGATTTACCCATACCTAAAGCCAGCACCCCGCGATTCTTGTGGAATGTATTGAGATACATGCCATGGAGGCACTCTGGTCCATTTGACTACACATTGGAACCATTATATTGGGGAGACAACAAGAAGAAGAATTGAACAAATTGTGCTACAATCGACATTCCTACCGTTATTGCATTTTCAAAGCTTGAAGCAATCCATGAAAGGACTTATCACGCCTAGCTGTGAACAAAGATCCCAACTGACCTTATAAGGAACAAATTGTTGGTAAAAATACATTTTGGCATCACAGGTTGTTGCCTTCACATGCAAAGCGCCAAATCGTCGGCACACCATTCATTCACATTATCAGAAGTATCATCAGAAATACCACAACACCAACTATCCACAGTACGTGAATACTATATTTGTTATTTGCTCTCCTTAGCTACTTTTGTCTTACTACTCTCACCACTAGGAACGCGCATGATGATTGAGAGATCGGCTCCAAAGAATTATTGAGACCGGACAACAAGTCGTACCACAGATCAAGATTTGAGGAAAATTGGGCCTTTACCATGCACTCCACTGTGAGGTCATTGGAGTAGACCTATGGGCCAATGATGATGGGTCTTATTGAAGGTGACTATCACCTATTGCAGCGTCACTATGAATGGACGATTCAATCATCATTTGATGATTATGATTTATTCTTTCGATCAACTTATCCGTGATGATAACCGCCTCCCTTTTCATCATAACCCTGGCCCCTTGAACACTCCCAAAAAAGTGGTAAATCATCAGGAACACCCGGCAAATGACAAAAATCCGTACCGCGCAGGGTCGACTGTGGGAATTCTGATGTCTTTCAATGGGCGATCCCTGCCTTCAATATATTTCAGTTTTTATACACATCTATTATTCAAGAAACCGACAGCCCCAGAGTTCTCGAGTTCAAGATTTGGGCTGGAACTTGGCGGCAGGAGATATTCAACGAGAGATTGAAACGTTTTGACACTATTCGAACTCGTTTTCGTTATACTATGAACAAGCATGAAGTAGTTTACACTGACTTTTTCGTTTTGATTCAATACGATATTGAGAATGACCGTCCTTTGAATAGCGTCATCTACTATAGTGCAATTCTCTATTATTTGTATAGTTTGTCTTTTGAGGGAATATTGTTTCGCAAAAGTTCCCTGAAAG